TAATGGGGCCCACAGAGGCCGTCGTGAGGGCTCTCAGAGTCAGATGCCGCCCAAAAAGTCGCTGTGTGGGCCGAGAGACCGGCATGGGGAGCACCCGACCGTACTGGACTCTCAATAGTCCCAGATTTGCTTTTGTCTCTCATCACAAGTATGTAATAAATGATTTGACGGGCTGCTTGAAGGACAGCCTACGGATTTAGGGGGGGGGGGCGTCTTTCCCCATCAGCACAGGGGGCATCTTACCCCAAGGTACCGAAGTAACATTAAATCAGTACAATTTGTTAGCCATAAAACTACACCCTGAAACAAACTGTTTGGGACGCAGTAGGTACACGCATGTTAATGTATCACGACTATAGCAAGGGACGCAAAAATTATCCACCTTCTTTGATATTTCCAATGTTTTGACACCAAAATATTTTTTGAAAGCAGCAAATAAAAAACATGCAATCACCAGCCAGCCGTTGCCCGACTGAGCTTCGCAAATTTATGTGCAGTTAACAAGGCAGGCTTCCGCTTTACGCTAAGAACATTAATTTTCAGGTTCTATTCTTTGTTTCGCCGCTAGAGGGGGTGGGGCGTCTTTCCCACCCTGGGCATCTTACCCCACTCTCCACTACTCTCCTACCGGCTATCCATAGCTGGTGTCAACGGTGTCAACCACTACTGACAGCTTCATAGGGGAGAGGCGGGAGAATTGGGTCCTTTTTCTCAGACCATATTTGTTGAGGTATTACCTATTTGAAAAGTATGGACTATGGTAGCCAGGGTAACTTTTAAAGGGGGAAGGGGGGATTTCCCCCCTTCGAGAATTCCGCTCCCCCTCTAAAGCGACGTCAAACTTTCAGTACCTTGTCATACATTAATTTAACACGTTCCCTGAAAATTTGAGCGAAATCCGTCGGAAGTTTTTGAGAAAATAGCAATAGCAATAGCCCAGCGGGGCGCGGGTTAAAAGGTCCTAGGTCATCGGTTGACCTTCCAGGTCAAGTCAATGACCCAAAAGTCGGGAAAATCGGGACGCGTTAGATCGTCGTATGAAGTGTGGCTGCCATGGGGGTTTTTGGGGTGCTGGTCACGAATATCGTGTTAGTTTTGATCACAGATGATGTCTTTAAGCATTTAGGCCAGGTCGGGTCAGGTCAGGTCCGGTCAGCCAGTGACGGGTATTCGTAGTACGTGTCAACCGCCTCTGATAGCTTCGTAACATGTTAGGAAGGCGCCAAAAACTACTTTGTAAATGTTCAAATGGTTGCTAAACTCGAATTCAGCTCCAAAAACTAGCCTAGAAATATGTAAAACTCGAAAAAGTGAGCCGAGGTCATCAAAGGTCAGTGACCTGACCTGACCTTCAGGTGACCTTGACAACCACCCTTATGCATAGGGGCAACATCACATCACATGTTTGAACGCTTGAAACCACGAAAAGACTGCAAACGCGCGGCTAAAGCGAGCCGACATACGCCGAATCGCGATTCCGGCCAAACATGGTCTCGAAAAGTAGGTCATAGATCAAAGGTCATTTATTGGGCCAGGGTCATGAAATTTTTTGAGTAGATGTAAAATTGATCAACTCGAGGGTACTGAAAGTTTCGTCGCGATCAGACTCATGCATGTTATGCGAGTTATTCGCGAAAAACTGAGGGAAGGCCGTTCGACCTCCTCCCCATACGGGCGACGCGGGGGTTAACCCTCGCATGTGTAGGGGGGGGGGGTCGGATGGACCCCCCCCATGGTTTTTCGCGAATAACTTGCGTAAAAAGCGGCCGATCGCGACGAAACTTTCAGTACCCTCGCATTGATCAATTTTACACCAACCCTGAAAATTTCATGACCCTGACCCAAATGACCTTTGACCTGTGACCTCTTTTCCGAGACCATGTTTGGCCGGAATCGTGATTTCGCGTATGTCGGCTCGCACTAGCCGCGTGTTTGCAAGCTTTTCGTGGTTTCAAACGTTCAAACATGTGATTTGATGTTACTCCCGTGTGTGTCAAGGTCACCTGAAGGTCAGGTCAGGTCATTGACCTTTGGTGACCTCGGGTGACCTCGGGTCACTTTTTCGAGTTTTTCATGTTTCTAGGCTAGTTTTTGGAGCTGAATTCGAATTTAGCAACCATTTGAACATTTACGAAGTAGTTTTGGTGACTTCGTAACATGTTACGAAGCTGTCAGAGGCGGTTGACACGTACTACGAATACCCGTCACGACGCCTACTGGTTGACCTGACCTGACCTGACCCGACCTGGTCTAAATGCTTCAAGACATCATCTGTGATCAAAACTAACACGATATTCGTGATCAGCACCCCGAAAAACCCCTTAGCAGCCACACTTTACGACTTTCTAACAGGTCCCGATTTTCCCGACTTTGGGTCATTGACCTGACCTGGAAGGTCAACCAATGACCTAGGACCTTAAAATTGGGTATCATCGGCTTGCTCTCGTCACGGGCAACACGCTCGTTTTTTCCGCGAAGCTCTAGCTCGATCAGGGGCCAAACGGCAAGGGGGGGTCCAACCGACCCCCCCCCCCCCTACACATTAGAAGCTGGCAAACGCCGCACACGTGCGAGGGATTTAGCAGGTGCATACCAAGCGGGTTTGACAGGCCAAATATGTGCCCAGTGCTATGCTCCGTCGACATGAAAGGGCTTGTACCGTTCTGATCATATTTCAGCTATTATAGCTTCTACGCAACAAAATATGCATGATGCAATACAAAATGCCCAACTCAACCCTGTCGTCACCCCCTCATCCCCCCCCCCCCCGGCACCCTCACTGCAGAGTGTGCTATCATCCTCTCCCCTTCCTCTGTCCTCTGTGGCCGATCTCGTGACCGCCGTCGGTGCACGTGCACATGAACTCATGTCGACCGTGACAGTGCGGATGTCGACGCGCCGACCCTTCCTGGTCAGGGCGGCAAACATCCCTGCACGTGCTGTCCTCGCTCGCCACATCCTGACAAAAATGGGTATCAACAGGGTGGCAAAATTCACGGGGAATTACCATGTTCGTAGAAAATTTTCGTCGAAATCTCATATGGAAACAAAGAGAGAAGTGAGAGAGAGAGAGAGAGAGGGAGAGGGAGAGAGAAAGAGAGAAAGAGATGAAAGAAAGAAGGAGAGAAAGAAAGAGAGAAGAGAGAGAGATAGAGAGAGAGAGAGAGAAAGAGAGAGAAAGAGAGAGAGAGAGAGAGAGAGAGAGAGAGAGAGAGAGAGAGAGAGAGAGAGAGAGAGAGAGAGAGAGAGAGAGAGAGAGAGAGAGAGAGAGAGAGAGAGAGAGAGAGAGAGAGAGCATCAGGAGCGGGGCTTGGAGTGCCGAAGGATTCTCAGCGGCAACGACAGCGAGAGCAGGCACCGGAAACTTTTTGAACGAGCAAAAGAATGTTAGGACGACAAAACACGTGAAGCAACATACATAAAACAGTCTAAAATGTCTGTAATGTGGTGAAATGTTATTTGTTAACCATGATACGGGATTGTACATAGGTAAAGCGATGGACGGAGTCGGAATGGGAGCCGTAGTCAAGGTCACCCAAAAATAGCGACATTCGTCACCCAGCAACAGAATAGTAGTCGTGAATCTATTGACACTCGCCGTTCCCGAATATTCTACTACTGACAGTGAGTGGCATGAATAAAAGAATTAGCCCAACCTAATCCTACACTCAAGGCCCTAAACCTACACTCTTGATGACTTATTCTAACCCTGTTTCAGTGCGAGTTTAGTTCAAAATTTGGATATAGGAGTATGTAAAAATACTTGAATGAACCTTTAATCCTTTGGAGTCCAAAGGTAAATGAGAAACATTACTTATCTATACATAAACTACGTGGCTTTAGTTCGAATTTGCTTAGATTAATATGGGCTTAATTAATATTGACGGGGCTGATTCAAGGCCCGGGTGGGTTTGGACATGCTCCTACAACGTCTAGCTATATATACTTACGGGCTATGGCAACTATGATTCTAAATATGGGAACTGGGGTCAATTGTAACACGAGTTTCGAAAAAAAACGGAATATTTGTGATAGTTCCTACCTTCTTCTATCTACATAACAAATTTCAGATCGATATCTCGTTTTTTGGCCAAGTTATAGCGTAAAAAACTGTTCAAAAATGATGACGTCAAATTTTTAAACTCAATATTTATCAATTCTAGACACCGTAGGGCAAAACAAAGACCACCATTGGACTCCCCGTGACAAGCTGCATCGAATCGACACCCATTTTATGCAAAAATATCAACTTTGAAATTTGACCTAATTTGACCTGACCTTGACCTGACCTTCACCAAAATGTGACCTAAACTGACCCCAAAGGCTGCCTGACCCACATGTTCGCATGTGTCATGTAAAATGGACCATAAAACATGTATCACACGACACTTTCATATTGTGACCCCCCAGTGACCTGACCTCTGTGACCTGACCTGGTATCAGTGACCTCAGATAGCGAAGTATGTGTTTGACGAACAATGTACCATCGATAGTTTTCAATAACTTACCAATTTACTCGATTTCACAACACATTTCTTGAAATGCCTGTGAATGGTGAAAATCCGACCTTTGACCTGACCTGTGACGTCATCGGTTTGACCTAGGTCAATGAAATTTGATCACCAGGTAGTTCTTTGGTGGGGCTATCGAACACCGCTTGAATTTTGAAAAACGGCCGGTAAATTTCCGAGATCTTAGGGGGATTGAAACGCCCCCCCCCCCCCCACGGGTGGTAGGGTCCGCCGGTAGCCCTACGGGGCGCGGGTTAATCTGTTGCGCCTGCATTCTTAGGTGCAATCTCACAAAGTATCGTAGGTGCTTTCATATTCACGGCATTCGGTAACATGCATAATAATAGTCAGCAAATGCTGACGAATTGCAAATGAATTTCACAAACGATTAGAAACGTCAACACACGATGAACTGAAATACATGCAAACTGAACTAAAAAGCATGCTGAAACAGAAATGAAACTGAGAAACAAAACTGAAATACATCCGAAAGAAAACATGTTTCAATATACGAATTTAACCAAATAATATTATTTAATTTGCTCTGTTTTGGATGGCTGGATTTTTTATCTGCATGTGAGCATTGTGCAATGTGCAATGCACACTGCACTACTTCTCCGCCAATGGCAGCAGGACGCGTTATCAGGGAGGCAGGAAGGGGAGGGCAGCACGCGGGAGACTGGCCCACGGTATATAAGGTGCAGCCGAACGACCGTACAACATTATTTGTAAACGTTCGGGGAGGGGGGTTATTAGTTCGGCAGTTCTTTGTTTTGTTTTTGCTCGGCCAGAAGATCGATTGCAAGCCAGCATTCTGACATGGACAGTAAGTAAACTACCCTGACATTTGGTCTATTGTCTGTTTGTTCTGCTGTCTCTCTAGTCTTTAACGAACTTTAATTAAATTCGCGTCTCGCAATTTGGGGCGACATAATTTTTCACTGCAATATCCCTGTTAGGCACTCTGTTTCATATCTAAAACGCCACATCTAAGCCACGTTTGTATTGAGACTGCATGTAGTTATGCATAGTGTTTATCCACAATTTAAGATTAAAACAGTTTAAATACTGTCAGACCGGTCTGGTTCTGGATTGCTACCTTATCGATACCATCGATGCTACACCAGATTTCTTGTCCTCTGTTTTCAATAAAAAGGCGCTGAACAAGTTGATAGATGCAATCGGCCGCCAGCAGTGCTTTTCCTTCATTTTTTTCTTATATTCTCGTGCTCTTGAATCATCAAGATCAGTCATGGGATTGAAGTAAATAGATCGATTCGACGTGCTACTTAGATTAAAGTCAATCAGACTTGGACGTTTTGCTGGCCTTAACAGCATTTCATCCTTTCTCTTGTGAGTTTCGGAAAATGATCAGATCGAAATCACTTTCAATCAGCGTCCATCATCTTTTCATACTATACAATATGCATTCATACCTATGGGTTTACATTGACCAGTAATACATTCTAAAAAAAAGCTCAATATTTCATGGCGCACCGAGCAACGATCAATAGCCATACCGAACAATGATTTTTGTTTCTTTCTTCTTTTTTTCAGAAGTCTAGCTGAACTGTGGACGGACGGCGGCCACCGACCATCACGGCTGCCTGAAGTCCAGCACCAGCGACATGCTCTGCCGCTCGGGAGGCGTCAGCAGAGGCAGCGCGGTGCTGACGTCATCGGAGGACCGAGGACCAGCATCGCGCCGCCATGGCTGACGGCCGACTGCAGCCCACAACACCAGGGTGCAGGGAGGGGGGGGGGAGGAGTGGGGTCAGCGTGTTCGACCGCTTTTGACTTTTGTGAAGAAATTGTATGTGTTGGCCTTTTGACTTCAAGAAAAAAATTGCGGCTTTCGTTTGATTTCGTTTGCTTGTCCAATAAAGACTCAAAAATGCATTTTGTTTTATGGATGATTAATAATGTGGCGATGCGACACACAACACAAAAGATACACGTCTTTTAGGAATTGTGATTTCCAACCATTTAATATGATTGTTTAGTTGTTAACACACGTTCAGAACGGACATGATGTCTTCCAATATCCACAGACATTGCATGAGAGGCGGACGTTATAGGTACATACAAGAGAACAGGCGGAGAGTACACAAAAGGTTCATCGGCTCTTAGCTATGACATACCTAAGATGATAGGGTTATGTTTGTCATGCACAATAGCGGTGCTGCACGGGGCTTGTCATCTTCCATGATTTATACATCAGCATTCACTAGGTTTCGCAGCCAAAGATATGAAAAAAACAATGTTATTTAAAAATTTCCGCTGCCTCTGTAAGACGTTAGGCATTGGAAGACTTACCACGTCGCTAGCAGAAGAAACCGCGGAGTAACAGGAGAAATTAAAAGCGTCCTCCCGGTGACCCAGCACGGCTTGGATGTGCGGCGTGCCTAGATGTGCTGCGGAACAGTCTACCTCTCAGGCGGAATCACTGTCGTCGCCGGCAGTAGCTGTCGCTCCCAAAACGTCAGGCTGATCCAGAGATTCTCACACACGGGCAAGGGTTTGTGGTATTGTGTTAGCCTCACAGGACAAAGGTCCCCCCACCAGTGCCAGCGGGACCTCATAGGTCACAAATCACACGACAACATCATTGAGCTCACAGGTCTCCTCCCCTCCGCATATAGGTATCAGTGCTGACCCCTCAGGTCACAGGTCTCCTCGCAGCAACCGCCGCTTAAGAGTGAACCTGTGGTGACCTCTCGCTGACCCCAAGATCTCACAGACACAGAGTGGTGCCATTCGATCGATTATCGGATGGGAGGCTCGCAATGACCCGCGCCTGCCAGATGGCCGCAGTTTGACCGGTTGAAATGGCTGGTTTTCCCGTCCGTTAGTGGTCGGTAAAACCGCCAACGGTGACGGCCGAAAACGTCCAGAACTTGCCGAGAAAATCTGGTCAGCTCACAGAAAATTCCCCAATGCTCAAAATATTTACACAGTGCAAAAGAAATTTGCATTGCTCACAGAACTTCAGCACAACTGATCGTGGTTATGGCAAATCAGAGAAAGGCTCTGGCTGTCTTAGCATTGGTAGTAATTGCAGGGCAGACTGTCTGCAATCGCAACCATTTTCGTTACAGGCCTCAAATTTCTTTCACCACCAGTTTTCTTATCCTCACCACCAGTTTCTGTTATTATCCATAATTTAGGTCAATAAAACGAGTCGCTTGTCTTCTCGTAAATAGAATCACAACTCACAACCGCATCCATGAGTCGGCAGTCGGCAGCAGCAACATGAACAATCACTACAAAGAGACCTTGACTTAATACGACAGTACGGATTAGACTGGGCCATAACATTTAATGCTGACAAGACGGTACGACAAACCTTTACCAACAGACTAGAAAATGACAACTTAACACTTTATTTCGATGGAAAACAACTGACTCCAGTTACTCAACATAGACATCTTGGACTTAACCTTTCCACTGACCTACATTTCCACCAGCATATTAATTAAGTAATAAAGACAGTCAACTCTCTTCTAGGGCCAATTTACCCAGTTGCCAAATTTTTATCCAGAACAACTCTCAACGAAATATATACCATGTACATTAGACCACATTTTGATTATTGTGACATTGTGTTTGACGGCAACATCACCTCACACGACATAATGCGACTCCAGATATTACAAAATCGATGTGCAAGACTTGTGACCGGGGCCTTATTTCGAACACCGACTGACGCACTTCTCAAAGACTTGGGGTGGGAACGACTAGAGACGAGGAGACAAATTCACAAGTTACTATTCTTTCATCGTCTTTACTACAACTACCCCCCTCTTCCCTCATACCTCACAAATATTCTGACAGACACAAGACAAGACGCCACAGGACTTCGACTGCGCAACGCACGACTCCTATCGCTCCCGCCCCCGTCTAACCTCTTTCCGCAGATCCTACATCCCTGCCACCATCCGACAATGGAACCTTCTTCCCGAATCGCTTCGAGACACCCGATCTCCCCGCGATTTCTCTCGTCAAGTCTGGCAGCGATATGGGGCACCAGAGCCACCAGCACTTCACTCATTTGGCACCAAGGCACTCAACACACAACACACACGACTACGTGTCGGCCTAGCTACACTCAACGCACATCTCTTCACACTCCAACTAACTCCAACTCCAGCGTGTTCCTGTGGCTACAAACACGAAGACACAGCACACTACTTTCTCTGGTGCCCCCTTTACACAAACCACAGGCAAATACTCTTTAACGCCGTTCGACCAATCGTTCCAAATTTTGACAACTTACCAAGTAGACAGAAGCTTAACATTCTTCTATATGGAAACGACCTTTCTGAAACCCAGGGCACACTTGTTGCTCTCCACATTCACTCATACATCGCACACTCACGCCGGTTTAACACCCAACACTAAGTAGGTAACCCACTCACACCCAAGAACGCTGGCCTAGCTGCTGTCGCTCGGGCCCGGGCGCCTTGACCCGGTTCGTTTGTTGCTCGGAGGGTTGCTGGCGGGGTAGCGTCGTCTGGCCTCAGGTATTGGTTAGGTTAGCATTGTCAATTTTATGTTCTTCTTCGGAGAGGCGCTTTAATTTAAGCGATGCTTTTGCGCCGATCCCTTATTTGCTCTGTACATTTATTTGATCCTTGTTTACTAAAATACACTGGAATGGAATGGAATGGAATGGCAGTCGGCCTTTCAACCCACATGACCCACGAACACGCGCACATCTGCCATCCCCAGCCCTCTCAGGCCTTGAGTTTGTTGACAATCTGTCCTTGTTGGCCGTATCACTAATCAGGACCTGCCTCTGCACTGGCTTTGATCGCTGATTGTTAGAGATGAAAATTTAGCGGCCAATACCGAAATATGGATTGCAAACGGCATTCGATAAGAATCCAGGGGAAAATAAGTAGATGAAATACGTTTGCATTTAATAACATGACTAAGGCCCACATGTTAACAATAGATTAGGTTGCAGTGATTAGGATGAATGTGTCAAAAAGACCCGCGCTAATATGCAATTCAAGCTTGAAGGCACTGGTCTGGTATGTACCACAAATGTAATGGAGCGGCAAAGACATGTGTGAAACCAAATCCTCCTAATCCCTTCATATCCTCCCCCGGTTTTCACCTCCACGGACCGGCGCCGTCGGTGTCTATGTGACTGTGTTCCGGGGCGGGGTTCGGGCCGCGTGCGCATCTCGTCGAGAGCGACTCGGCCGCGGCGACAGAGACCAGAGCCGGCGGTGGAGTCGGGAGGGGCAGCACGTGACACAGGCGGGCGCGGCCCGGGCGGGTCACGTGGGCAGGACGCGAGGAAGAGAGGAAGGGGAGGGATATGAGAAGTGTGAGCTAGTCGGAAAATAAGGGACGATGAGTCATGAGGTGCGGACTAGAATACGTGAAGTGATATTCCGAGGACTGTTGTGCTAAGAGAGAGAGCAGAGTGGATGTAACAGCGCTCGCTACGGAAGACCCAAATTTTCGTAACTGCGTTATGTCGTTGTCTCTCACGTTCAGCTGGCCTTGAACGCTTTATGGTTTAAATGTTGGCCTTAAGAATTCAGAGGCATCTCGCGAACAGCCAGCGCCTGCATTATGACATGGATCACTCTCCCAATCGTAATTGGAAATCTGCTATGGTGCATGACGTTGTCATCTGCCGCGGAAGCTCCAGGTAAGTTGCAGTTAAATGAGCTCGATTCTTAGGTCAGTCATTTTGAGGCATCAGTAAACCATTTATCAGTGTTTATCTGCCATCCCAAAGCTCCGACGGACGCGGCTGTTTCCCGCTACAAAGATATGTGCGACCGTCTCGACCTGGGAAGATGTGCTTGATATCTTATTCTCGTCAGGTCCACTTGTCTAGAGAACGGGTGTTTGATGTAGGGTACTATGGACAAATTAACTGGTCAAGTGACCATATCCGTATCACTGAATGCCTCAGTATCACCAATATCCCTCGCCCTGGCAGGGCATTTTTCATAACACGGCCTGGCAGGGGGGGGGTCGATGCGACCCCCCCCCCCTCGCGATTGGCTCCTATGGCACCTAGAAACACCAAATTTGGTAGGTAGGTGGGCCCCCCGGAGTTCTCGCCCCTGTGCAAATTTGGTTGCTCTAGGTCAATATTTAGGGGGGTTTTGGGGGGGTATAAATGTAAAAATTTCGCTAAAAACAGGTAAAAGGTTTTTCGCTTATAACTTTTGAACTAATTAAGATAGAGCAAAAAGAAAAGCACCAGTGAACTCAGCACGTCAAGGCGCGTCGAATGATATACTTTTTAGCTTGCTGAAGTGTACTTAAAGTTTTTCTTAAATTTTAAGTAAACTTAAATTAATAAATTAAGTTAAAGTTAACCAAATTGCATCATATCGCATATCATTCGATTCGGCTGATCACCAGGAACACAATGATACCATTTTTTAAGCTCTAGCGTCATTATGTGCCAAGTTATTGGCAAAAACGTCATTTGACCTCAGTTGACCTCATTTGACCTGACCCATGGATAAGTACACCAAACAAAGAAGCACCAAGTGACCTGCTGTTAAGTACTGTGGTTTCAAAGCACAAAAGTGATAGAACGAAGCGGATATCTCCAGTATTTTCCCAATTTAGTATTTTCCCATAGGCTTAACATTACGACGTAATGACCTCTAACTGACCTCAGGTCAGTGACCTAAAAAAACCCGAACTATATGTTATACAACTCGGTGAACTTAGCACATCCTGGAAGTTTGAAGGAAATCAGTGCAAAACTCCCAGTAAACATGACGACGTCGGCCCGACGTCGGGCCGAGGCTCGGCCCGACGTCGGCCCAACGTCGGTTCAACCTCGGCCCGACATCGGCTGGACGTCGGATATGCCCGCATGTTCCGACGTCCAGCCGAAGTCCAGCCGACGTC